TGCGTCATAACGGCGTTTTTACAGATTTACTACGCGTTTATACGCGTTTTTTTTAGGTTCTTGTCTGTCTGGGTTCGAAGCAAAGATTTCGAATTCATTTTGTGGTGCAGGAAAGCACAACAAATGAATAGTTCATATTACCACGATTATATTCGAATAATTTGTTCATTTCAAAACAAAAATTTCGCACTCATTCCATAGTGAAGTAACGAACAACAAATGAATAGTTCATACCATTCGCAGCGTTATTAATATTCTTTTAAAATATGTTGTCTAGTTCGAACCAAACATTTCGAGTTTACTAGGTAGTGGAATGACACACGAGAAATGAGTAGTTATTACCATTACCAAGAGCTTATTCGGAGATTTTGTTTATTCCGAAACAGAGATTTCGAGCTGATTATATAGCAGACGAAGATACGATATAACAATAATTCATAAGAATAATATTATTACCATTAATATTCTATTTAATTATTTTGTTTATTTCCTAGGAAACATTTAAGCTTGAATACATGGTTGGAGACGGAAAACAAATGAATAATTCATAAGAATATTATTCAGAATATTAAGATGCTATCCAAATATTTTGTTCAGTTGGAAGGAAAGATTTCAAGAAAGCCATATGATGGTGGAACAAACAACAAATTCACAGCTAACACTAAGAACATTCTATTCGAATACTTCTGTTCATTTCGAAGCAGAGATATTGACTTAATTCTATGGTAGAGCAACATATAAAAAATCAAGAGTTGACAATAGCAATATTAAGATCCTATCCGAATATTTTGTTTAGTTCGAAGCAAAGATTTCGAAGACCCTATATGATGATGGAACAAACAACAAATCGACAGTTTATATTAAGAACATCCTGTTCTAATATTTTTGTTTAATTCGAAGCAGATTTCGGCTTAATTACATGGTTGAGGAATACATGAGAAATCAACTATTGATAGCAAGACTCTGTTCAAATATTGTTTTTCAGTTTGAGGCAAAGAATTTGATGTCACTGCTTTGTTGAGAAACATACGAGAAGTGAAAGATTTATAGTAAGATTTTATTCAAATGTCTTGCTCAAGTCGAAGGAAAGATTTCGACTTCGTTACGTGGTAGAGGAACACAGAACATATGAATAGTTTATAATACTAAGGTTCTATTGGATTTTTTTGTTCTGTTCGAAATAAACATTTGTATTTCATGAAATCGTAGAGAAACACACGGTAAGTCACTAGTTTAGAAGAATATAGTATAGAAATGTTTAGTTCTGTGCGAGGCAAACATTGTGAGTACATTGTATGGTAGAGGGACACATTACTAATGAACAGATCCTACCAAGATTCTATGCAGATCTTTTGTTAATTCCGAAGCAAAGCTGGCGAGTTCATTACATGATGGTATATCACACCAGAAGTTAATAATTTCTAGTAAGACTCTATTAAAATACTGTGCTCAGTTGGAAGAAAAGCTGGTGGGTTTATTACATGGTGATGCATCACACGAGGAACTAATAATTTCTACAAAGACTCTATTAAAATAGTGTACTCAGTTCGAAGCAAGGATTTCGAAATCACTGGAGGTTGGAGAAACGCGCGACAATCTAATAATTTACACCAGCAGGATTATATTCAAATATTTGCTTCGTTCGGAAACACAGCTTTTGAGATTATCAAGTACTTGAGAAATACACGATAATTTATTATTTGTTACCAATAGCACCAGGATTTCATTGAAATATTGGGCGGTTTATTATATCGGGTATGTATGGTGTGTTTAGAATAAAAACCTCGTTGGAAATGAAGAGCTCCTACGTTTATCGATCAAATGGTGAAGCGAACGTTTAACATCTTTACTTTCAATTGCTGATGCTTGTGCCTTGTAGCTTGTTGCCACTAACACCGCGACGACGATCAAAATAGCCATTTTGGTAGTGTGCTGCATGGTTGTCTATTAACGTTCGACACTTGAGAAGATATTGAGAGACGAATACGACTAAGCCAGTAAATGGTATGTTTTTACATTAACGCACGCGTATTTTTATATCTCACCGGCAGTGAGAGGGATTTCGTACTCAATAATCGTATTTTTGCACTTTACCTTTGGTGACTCAGCACTTAATAATAGGATTTTTTACTCATAAATCGGATATTTTTTCTTATTGATCGTAGTTTTGACTCACCAGTGGGAATTCCCCACCTATCAATGGGATTTCGTACTCAATAATTGTAATTGTGCACTTACCAATGGGAATTCGCCACTTGTCTACTTCGCTATTGCGAACTTAAAAAAGATAAAGTTTAAATAGAATAAATTGAGTTCAATTATTTGATTGCCTATGAAGTTAAGTTGTGTGTAGTTTTTGAATAAATGTTTTCAAATTTATAATTATTTTTTATGAAAGTTTTGATAAATGAGACTATATGTTAAAATTTAATTTTTCTTAATATTTTTGTCAGTATTAAGTGATATGTTATTTTATTTTAAGGTTTTTTGAAAATGATTGCGACAATTTGGAGAGGATGTAAGCTTTTAGTTGAAAGGTGTTTTTGAATAATGAATAATAACTGTAAGATATAGAGGACGTAAGATATCATATACAAAAATGTTTTGATAGAAGAATAGGTGTATTTTTTAGAGTTATATCAGCTATAAAGAAGTGTGATAATATTTTTGTTTTGTGCTAGTTATTAAGTATTATGATATCAGCTTATATGAACTTATAACTTGATTTTTGTAAGTGACTTAGGATGAGTAAAATCAGAAACAGCTGTATGTAATTACAATGTATGAAAATAATAAACAACATGAGATTTAATACTAATTTAAATAAATGAGACTAAATGTAGAATATATAATGAAAATCTTATTTTTTAATGATAATGGAAATTTTCGATCTTATTCGATTATTATCAACTAGAAAACACCCATTTATTTAAAATTGCATTAAATCTCATATCTTCATTATTTTTCATATATGCTATTGCTATTCTCGAACGCGTTTTCTATGAAGAAGCTTTTTGATTTGATCCTGATCCAATCGTCTTGTCGTTTTTCTAATTTGATGTTGAATATAAGTTTGTGAATAATTTTTGTTGCCTAAATGGTAAGAAAACTCACCACTATTATGTATAATGGCAATGGTGGGTGTGGGTATGAGTGGGGTCGGTATCGAACATCACATATGCCGCCTACACTCACCCACCCTCAAGATATTTCTACTATTCGGCATTTTTATTTTCGGCGTTATTAGGGGGAATCTTTTTACTATATTTTGATAAACAAGAGTTCGATTGTTATTTGTCTATCGATTTAAAAATAAGTGTATTGATAAATAATATTTTGGATGAAGAAAATGAGAATAATATTTTATCTATTCTTAATCAAAGTATATTTCAGTTTCAACTCAGTGATTTATTTACTAGATAGATCGGACAGACGCCACCCACCCGAAAGTATATACATTGATTTAACCATTGAGTGGCCTGGATAGGCAGCGTCCATCCGAAATTTATCTTTGTCTACTCGAAAAATAAAACCTAGATAAACTACTGCTCCAATTCATATAAAATATAAACATTGGAAATGAATCATTTTCTTCATTATTTCGAGAGAATCCATGGGAGTATCAACAGTTGTTTCTGTATAAGAAGTCCTGATGAAAGTTTTGATTTTTGATTTCTTATATGCAGTTCAGTGGTCATGGTCTAAAACTAGCTTACGCAAATTTTTACTTCTTTTGAATGTTCTATAATAAAACTATCTTGGATAGATTTTTGAGCACTATCTACCTAATATTATATAGATAGTCATAAATGATTGTAAAAATGCTTACTAGGATTATATTTCTATGTACCGCAGAATTGAGGATGTGGGCGTGGATGTGCATATGCAGATAATAAGACACGCACACCCTTTTTTCAACTACTTTTTTCTCAATTTATCACTGGATAATATTTGTAACTCGATTGTTACTGATGCTTTACTACCTTCATCTTGATCAATATGGCTATGATTAGCATCACTCATTTTGTTCTACTAAGTACAAATATTACAGCTTATTATATTCTTAACTAACAACGAACAACAGGCAGAAGGTTGTGTATAATGAATTGAAAGATTTGGATGATAGGTAGAGAACGCTTCAGAAAGAAATATATCGGCAAAGAACGGCCTCATCAAGCGGCGTATATGTTGACCGTTTTTATTAACCATAGGAAATCCGAGATCGCCATCTTATTAATTTCATTATACATCACTAAGAATTCATCGAATATGTATGAAATAATGATTTATTAGAACTGAAATTGAGTTAAAAATGAAAAGCAGATAATATTTTAAAAAGCAGAAGAGGTGGGAATCTTGGAGTCACAAAGTTTTGTTGAAATTATTATTATAGAGTGAAGATAAATGTTAGTGTGTATTGTGTAATGTTTTATAAGAGTAATATACTTAGTAGAGTAGTAAAATATTAATGAATAAATAAAGATTAGCCATCGAATAAGCCTTAACAATGCAAGAGAACACTGACGGTGCCCGCTACAATATAGTTTGCAACAACAATATCGGGTTTATTATCGCTATTCACATCGACGACTGCTACTGATTGTGGATAAGTACCAACTGAATAAGTGGTTTGAGCATTAAAGGTGCCGCTGCCAGTGTTGAGAAGAACACCGACATTGTTCGAACCATAGTTTGCAACAACAATATCGGGTTTGTTGTCGCCATTCACATCGACGACTGCTACTGAATATGGGCCATTACCAACTGAGTAAGTAGTTTGAGTACTAAAGGTGCCGCTGCCTACGTTGAGAAGAACACCGACGGTGCTCGAACCAATGCTTGTAACAACAATATCGGGCTTATTATCGCTATTCACATCGACGACTGCTACTGATCTTGGACTACTACCAACTGGGTAAGTCGTTTGAGCATTAAAGGTGCCGCTGCCTGTGTTGAGAAGAACACCGACGGTGCTATCGCCATAGTTTGCAACAACAATATCGGTTTTATTGTCGCTATTCACGTCGACGACTGCTACTGATCTTGGAACACTACCAACTGAGTAAGTAGTTTGATTAAGAAACATACTGCAGGCTATTAAATACAAAAAAATTGCTCTCACATCTGTACTGGCATATTGGCAGTATTCGATCGTCGTATTTTACTCAATCTTTAAGAATTTTATATAATTGAACATAGTCTATTCGAGAAGATCATGTCACTGAATTATGGGCAGTTTCAGATATTCTAGAGCATAACTAAAGTCAGTTTTCAGCCATTCTGTCCATCTCTGTATGAAAGCTTCTCGTAAACTTGAAAAATCAACGAACTTATCTCACTCTACTTAAAACGTGTGCTCCCTTTAATAAAGTTTCATGATATCCTCGACTAAGAGGACGCAGAATACTTTTCAAGAAGAATTCATAATTCTGTACATTTGTCCAGAATTTCATTTCAACATATATATCATTCCTTTTTTTAGTTGCATTATAATATAGAATTTATAGACAACAAGATAATTCTGTGTCACATAAACCAACAGTATTTCTACAAAACTCTAAGTTCTAGTTTTTCAAGCATTTTACAATTACCTCTACATCCACACCCTGTTCTCGTCGAGAATAGTTCAACAAAAATAAGTTATCTATTTCGGTTATTGTGGTTTTGTTTTTCAATGTTTGACAAAGGTATGCACGGAGTTAAAAGTGGTGTTTATTAGATGCTGTAACAATAGAAAACAAAGCATTGCAGTTTTTATTTATTGTAAGTTGTGTTCTCCAATAATAACTCGATAAATGGATGTACTTTTTAGATTCGATTGCTGTTCTCTCGAGACTTTATACATGCAAAAAAAGCCGGCGTCAGTGTTGGTCCTGCCTTTTTTAGAGTTCAGAGATACGTCAGTTAGTAGAGTAAATATAGAAGGATACAAATCACAATCAATAAAACGTCTAGTTCTTACTTTTGCTTTATTAGCACAACATCTGATAGACTCCGATACAAGTTCGATTTTGACTCCGTACAGCCCTCTACTCTTTGATCGAAAACCACCTCAAGACAAAAAATAAAGGACGCAAGTGAATAAGACTAGATACGGGCTGACGAGGAGTAATCAAAAGAAAAGCAACAATAACGAGGCTTAGTTCTTCCTGACAAAATCCTCATTATACTACTATACTCTTGTGCTATTTTACTATTGACAGTTTTTTCTAAAGGAAGTAGTCGTCAGTGCTACGTCTGAACCAACGTCAGTTTTTTTAATGTTGGCTTTCGTAGTGGCGGTCTCTACCATCAGCGTGATGACTACAACTTGTTACGTCTAGAAATAACGCTTCTACAAGAGATAACTGAGGGAATCTTCACACGATTATTATTTGTTCATCGAAGTGATAAACATTTGAACGGTAAAATCTCAAATGTTTTTTGGTTAGTGGAAGTAATCCTCGGTCTGAAAGCTATAAAAACAATACAACACATTATCTAGCATAGTACTGACCGGCTGTTGTTGTTGTTACTGATGTTGTTGATGTTGTTGACGATGTGGATGATGTTGATGATGAAGTAGTAGTTTTTGTTGTTGTTGTTGATGTTGTTGACGAAGTGGACGATGTTGATGACGATGTTGTTGATGATGTTGATGATGAAGTTGATAATGAAGTGGTTGATGTTGTTGTTGTTGATGATGAAGTAGTAGTTGTGGTTGTTGTTGTTGATGTTGTTGAAGATGTGGATGATGTTGATGATGAGGTTGTTGTTGATGTCGACGATGTGGATGATGTTGATGATGAAGTGGATGATGACGTTGTGGTTGATGTTGTAGTCGGTTCTGTTTTAGACAAATGACATTAAAGGTGTGGGCCTAATTGCGGCTCGTCTTCAATCTCCATACCCGCACCCTCAATATGAGTATGAGAATTGAAGAAGATCCGCTCTCATACTCACACCTTCAATTCCGTAGGACTGTCCTGTGGATCCGATATATCCTTCATAAGGTAACACTAAGAGATCCTCATTATCACATCTCAGGTATCTTTAAACAGAACACTATGCTATGCCACATTAGAGAATGTGACATAAGACAAGATTAGATAAGGGTTTTCCCCATATATGTTCGTTCTCTTTCTTTTCTATTGATATATATACATATATATGTTGCGTTCTTTCTAAATAGTATTTTTTTTTCTAGTGTTTTTCTTTGTTTCTTCTTATCATGTATATGTTAGGTGTTTTGTTTTCTACTACTATCGACCACGTCCTAGTACTATCGACTAGATCCTAGTACTATCGACTAGGTCCTTGTGCTACGTACCAGGCCTTAGTACTAACTACTAAGCCCTAGTAGTACTTGGTAGGTCATGAAAATTTTTTCTAAAAACTCATACTAACTACGTACATATATATATACATACACATCTATATATATATGTAAAATATGTTTATACATAATATACACATATCATATATACAATGTATGACAGTTTTTACTTAAATAATCTTTTTCCTGATTAGTATATTTATTATTTAAAAACTAAAACCTGACGTTTCAAACAACAATGTTGTGCTTCGTCAGAAGTGATGGTATATTTTTAAGATAGATATCTTATTTATCTTATTTATATACGTTTCTTTTCTTTTCATTTAATAGTGGTACGGACAAGAGGATAATAGTCTGAGATGATAAGGTGAAGTACATATCGTCCGTACTATTAGTAAATGAAAAGAAAAGAAACGTATATAAATAAGATAAATAAGATATCTATCTTAAAAATGCAGCATCACTTCTGACGAAGAACAACATTGTTGTTCGAAACGTCAGGTTTTAGTTTTTAAATCATAAATATATTAATTAGAAAGAAAATTATTTAACTAAAAATGTCTACAACCCTCCTCGATCACAAATAATGTATGAAAGTTTGAATTACTTTGTAATTCATTTCCAGCATGAACGCATATTGGCGTTTAGCTATTTGATCGATTTCTAAGAGATAAGACTACGTCAGGCAATGAAGAATTGATCTATTCATTTATCTGATTATAATATTGTTTGTACTATTCTAAAATTAACTCTATAATATACTGCTCGTGATACGTAATATACAGCTAGTACGAGATTTTGTGGATCGTTTGGTTCGATCAATGTAAAAAAGAAAAAGAGTTTTTTCTCTTCAATATATCTGTCTTAAATAATCGTAATTGTACTTACCGACTGGAATTCTTGTTCCATCCATAACAATCATAGTAATAATGTCCGTGTTGCTCACCAGATTGCCATTTTGGTTTGATATATCAGCAAATAATTCACAATTAGATGATGATTTATGAAAACTAATTGCTTTACAATGGACTTCAGCTAAACAAGCCATGTGACATTGGCGGATATTCAACACAATAACAACAGCCAGTGGTGAACAACTTGAGTTAGAACATTCAAATTGCCAACCAACTTTGGTAGACATGCGAAGTGATCGCATATCTTGTGTGCCGGATTGTGTAACAAGAAGGAGCAGAAGAAATAGAGAATTTCTTCTGCTCGCCATAACTAACACGAATGTTAGTTAAAAAATGAATTTTAACTTTAAATCAAATACATTGTGAAGACATAGTATTAAATACCTTTTCAGTTTTTCTCTTTTTCTCTTTTTTTTCTCTGTTTCTGACACATCATAGATATTTTTTTGAATCCATCAGTGAGATGGAAAACTAGTCATGCGTTATTTTTTTGTCAGTATTGTGTAGTAGAGGTTAACTTTCAACAAGTCATGCATCAAGAATAATAAATTTCTTTTACGTAGTTTATGTGCACGCGGAAAACAAAACACGTATATCTTAAAATCTTGTTTTATGCAGATACAATGATCACTTCATCTGTTTATAACATGAGACCACTTTATATTAAATTTAATTCCGTATATCAACATAAGAAACCCCTTATAAAATAAATCAATTAAATAAAACTACTTTTCAGCACTCTAAAGTAACTTCAATAATTCTTCATCTTCATAAACAATTCGACATTTTTCTTCGAATGAAAAATATATCCTGTTCAATAAAATAGTGTCAGTTTTCTTTATTCAGTTTTGTGCTGTAATAATATAAAATGTGTACAACACAAAAACTATCTGAAGATAATTTTACTTTTTTCTAAAGAACCATTAGAAGAAAATACACTGCGCAATGATGTTTGCCTGTTATAATCAGAATAATGGAAATTATATCGTCAAAAAAAACTGTCTATTACAAAAAAGGGATGGTAACAAGTTTTCGCTGATGTCGAAAGAAAAACATCGTTACTATGTCTCTAGGAAAATTAACAATAACGTTTATGACGTTTTTACTTTCTGTATACATTTTATTTAACATAGCTAAAGCAAATACTCTTTAGAGCTTTGAGTATATTGTTCATTAGTCTCTAAATCCGTAAGATCTAAACTAGTAAGATACTTCTGGAACCATAACTCCATCTTATAACTATATTTCTTTCTTTTCATACGTCATAGATATTTTTTAATTCATCAGTGCGATGGAAAATCAGTCATGACTTCCTTGTCTTGTCAGGACTGTGTAGCAGAGCTTCACTTTGAAAAAAGTATATTTAGAAAAACAATTTTTTTATTTTCATCACTATGATGGAAAAAAAAGTTTGCACTTGTTTTTGTCAGGATTGTGCAGTAGAGGTTAACTTTGAACAAGTCATGCATCTAGAGTGATGATTTTTTTTGCGTAGTTTATGTGCAGGCAGAAAAGAAAAATACGTATATCTTAAAATCTTGTTTTATGTAGAAACAATGATCACGTTATTTGTTTATAATATGGGACCACTTTATAGTAAATTTAATTCCATATGGTAACATATGGAACGCTTTATGAAATAAATCAATTAAATAAAACTACTTTTCAGCACTCTAAAGTAACTTCAATAATACTTCATCTGCATAAACAATCCGGCATTATTCGTCGAATAAAATATATCTCGTTCAATAGAATGATGTCTGTTCTTATTTTTAGTTTTATGCTGTAATAGTATAAAATGTGTACACAACACAAAAACTATCTGAAGATAATTTTTTTTTCTAAAGAACCATTAGAAGAAAATACACTGTGCAATGATATTTGCCTGTTATAATTATTAGAATAATGAAAACTGCATCGTCGAAGAGAACTGTGTTTCAAAAAACAATGGTAAACAATTTGCGTTAGTCTGGGAAAAAAATGCATCGTCACTATGCTATTTGGAAAATTAACAATAATGTTTATGACGTCTTTACTTTCTTTCTACATTTTGTTTATCAAAATTAACGCAAATACTCTTTAAAGTTTTGAATATATTATATATATATCATTGTGATATGTTCTGTTTTTTTTCACTAATCTTTTGAATCCGTCAAATCTAAACTAGTGAGATAAATATGGAACCATAACTCCATATTATAACTATGTCTCTTTTTTTTTATACATCATAGATATTTTTTTAATTCATCAGTGCGATGGAAAACTAGTTATGACTATTTTTTGTCAGGTTTGTCTAGTAGAGCTTCACTTTGAAATAGTATGCATTTAGAAAGATGATTGTATACCGAAGTTAATGTGCAGGTAGAGAATATAAATACATATATCTCACGATCATGTTTTATATGAAAAGAATCAGTTTATTTATATATAATACGAGACCACTTCATATTAAAATTGATTCTATATGTTAACATAAGAAACGATTTATAAAATAATTCAATTAATTGAAACTACTTCTCAGCACTCTAAAGTAACTTCAATAATTCTTCATCTTCACAAATAATCAATCATTCTTCTTCGAATAACGTACATCCGTTTCAACAGAATAATGTCTGTTCTCTCTTTTTTTTCTAATTCTACATTGCTGTAATATAAAATGTGTACAGAACACAAAAACTATTTCAATATAATTTAATTTTCTTTACAAAGAGACGTTAGAAAAAAAACCTTTGTGCAACGTTGTTCGTCTAGTATAATTAGAAGAATGGAAATTACATCGTCAGAAAAAAACTGTGTATTACCAAAAAAGGATAGTAATAAAAATCTGCTGATGTTGGAAGAAAAACATCGTTACTATGTCGTTAGAGAAATTAACAATAACGTTTATGACGTCTTTACTTTCTTTGTACATTTTATTTAGCAAAATTAATGCAAATACGGTTTAGAGTTTTGAATATAGTATATATCATTGTGATATGTTCAGTTTTCTTGTCAAGTTTGTAAATCAATAAAATCTAAACTTGTGAGAAAAATCTTGAATCTTCTTGCATATTACAACTATGAGAAAGAATAAACACAAAACACATAAAATCTACATCCAGAATCTAGAGAATAGAGGGAAACAAAAAAACACTAACGTCTTCTTCAATTTTTCAAGTCAGCAAGATTAATTCTGAATCAATAAATATACATAAAGTTATTAATCAATAAATGATAAAATAATTTTTTTGAATTTCATGTTGTATTAAATAAAAGAGAAAAAGGAAAAAATATATATACCATAAATGATAAATATTGTAATGGGAAGCCTTCCGAATTTTTTTCTTCTTTATCAAACTAATTTGGAACTAGTGATGTAGTTTTATAATAAGCATTATGAAGATGTTATATTATGATTGAAGAGAAAAAACCGTTAAAATAATAAAGATTTTGCTTCATAATTGGTACTATGGAGATATTAGATTACAATGATAGACAAAAACCTTGTGGAAATACAGAAAAAAAATTGAGAGAACGGTTGAACAAGCAGGAAAGGGGAAAGAAAAAAAACGTCTTGCTGAATCAGTATATTTCTCAATGAATAAGTGATAATATACAGCGATAAAGCCATGTGAGTAGATTGTTTCATGAAACAGGAGAAACCTTCTAAATTTACTTGACAGATGCTCGCCATAGAATAATTAGGATATTCAGTGAATTGAAATAGAAAATATTCTGTCGATCATAATTTAAAATCTTTGATCAAAATAAATTACATTCAGAACTACTCATAACTAGATTTTTCATATGAGAAATTATAGTTTCTATATAAATCATCATTTTACTCATAATCGACTTCTATCGGTATTGTTTTTGAACATTTGTTACTATTCCAGGTTTATTACTCGACGATTTTTGTTTAATATCAAAATTTATTTCCAATTGAATACAATAGATTATTGACTCTAGAAAATAATTTTATTTATAACAATCATAATCAGACATAATATATTCTTTGATATTCTTTTAGAAGTATTAACACACTCTTATAAACAATATTAAAAAGAGATATTTCATTTTATTAATCAACAAACAATGTTTTCAAGAACAAAGAATTATGATAGTCATTAATTGATATTCACATGTGACTAAAGTAAATTGAAGAACAAGTAATTTGTTAATATTTTAATTATGAATTATCTAATATAGATATAATCATTTGCTATATATTTTCAATAAACAGATTCTAAAATAACCAGTTACTTGTTATAAAGTATATTTATCATTCCCTATCCTCATTGTACTGCATTACTAATGATTAAAAAATGACTTTTTCTAATTGTGTTTTATCGATAAGAATAATTTATTCAAACTTCATCATTCTCTTATTATCAATAATTATCTTAATTATTAAAAGATAAAGTATATATATGAAATTAAAGAAGAAGTATTGAATAGGTCTGCTAGAATAAGAGAAGATTATCTATTGATAAAATAGTTACAATATAGCCTCACTTGTATTTCCATATAATCCTCTCGAAATAATTCAAATGAATTTTTCAAATATTTATTTTGTAATAGTATACCTATTTATAGATTTGTCATGATTTCTCGTTCGAAATCGATTTTATCATAGTAGACAACATTCATATTCAAGAAGAAGTTGAAGTGTTAAAATAAAAGCTAAATAACGAAATATAACATTTATAACAAAAGTAAGTAAAGCTAGCAGCGGGTTCGACTTTTTTCGTCCATCGATCTGTATCACAAATAATAGTCAGTGTGACAAATAGAGCACGGAATAGACCGTGCTCTATCTGGCACAGTTACTATTATTTGTGACACAGATCGATGAGCGAAAAACTCGAATCCGGTACTAACTTCACTTACGTTTGTTATTTTTATTCTATTTTCTAGCTATCGGAAAAATATTTTATTTTTTACTAGCAAAAAAGCTAAAAAGTGATTGTTTGTTAGAGAGATTGTTAGAAAATATTTCATTTTTGTTAATAATCTGTTGATATATGTGAGAAGAATGGGATTATTAAGAAGTCATCTCTTATAATATATAATCTGACGTTAATATTTTCTTGAAGAAAATTTCTTTGATAAATCTATTTGTTTGTCGTTTTAATAAATTAACTTATAAAATATCTAAATCAGTTCGAAAAGTACGGGTGTAGTCTTCTCTTTTATCATCCATATTCAAGATGATTGTGATTATAAGCTCTTTCATTGTTCGTTATTT